AAAAAAATCAATAAAAACATATTTAAATATATATAAAAAAAGAAAAGCCAAAGAGCACCACCCACTTTTTAGGACAATGTTTATTTCAGACTTTACTCGAGATCAACAGAATCCTCTTGCCCAGTTGTCTGTTCCTGTCTCCATTATTTTATACAGTATCCAGTCGAGGGCACTTAGAATGACCCTCGCTGGCATTCCCAGGGTAAATTCACATGGAAGAGAACATGGAGTTGTAAAATATTTTGTTTTCCAACAAGAGTTGTCTGTTATAGTATCATTAGCATTTATACACCCCAAAATTACTGGAATAATTCAATCTTCAAATGCTTGTTTTTTTTTTAAAAGTAGGTTTACAACAATATAAAATAAATAATAATTTATTTAAAGTAATAGGAAAAAATAAAGTGTATCAGGCAATACATTAAATCCGAATGGATGTATTTTCTTATTTAAAAAAAAAGACACTGTTAAATAGGCATAAAAATAAACCACAGCCCATGTTCTTTACATAATCTAAGTTACAACAAAGTGGTGAAGGAAATTTGAAAGTCAACAGCCAGGGAGGAGCACCAGGTGACCAGGTGGGGTTGGCACAGCAGCCATCCATCCCATCGGGGACCGTGCACTTTTGGAACTGGGCATGGGCATGTTCTGAGGGCACAGTAAGCTATCGACACAAATGGTCCAGACCTCTAAGTCACCTGCTTCCATTGGTTGAACTTCCAATACTCCTCAGCTCACACCTGTGATATTGTGGAGTCTTGATTATGACCAGCTGATAGAGAACCAGCCTGGTTTAGGAATGGGTTTGGTTGATAATTTGGTGTGAACCAAATACAGATGACTGCCAAGCTACAGCCCAACTCCAAGGTGGCCCTAAAGGACAATGTGAGGAGAAGCACTCTGACTGACAAAGCTTTAAGGGGTTCACTGGTCATCTCCTTTGTGCACAGATGCAGCATCTGTGCTGGGCTCCTTGTCTGGAAGGAATGAGTGGCCGCAGGGAGGTGAGTGTGTGTGTGTGTAGGGGGGCTCTGGAGGGACCTGTGGGTCTAGAGTCGACTTCAATCTCCAGAGAGCATAACTGAAAAAGGGGCACTTAGCAAGCAGGAACATAATGGTATCTATAGTCAAGTGCAGCTAGCCTAGGTTTTGTGTACCAGCCCAGTGCCCTGCACAAGTGGCCATGGACAGTCCAGTTATGGTGGCAGGGATGGAGGTGTGCAGGAGACCCACACCGTGAGTTCCCTCTCACCAAGACCAACCTAACTATCCACAGCAGAGGCTGATTCTAACCCCCTAATATGGCAACAACAGCCCCATGGTGACAAGGTGAATACATCAGAGCCCTGCAGTCCTGGAGGGAGAAGCAATTCATCTCACTGGGTGGATACTTGCAGGAAGTCAGCTTGAGAATGACTTCCGCAGGGTTAAGGCATCTATCTGTTCTTTAAGATGTGGCATATACATTGAACCAATGGTTTCTATATGGTGTTGTGCCCCCAGTAGCTAAAAAGCAGTACCCAGGGACCAATGGGTAGAAATAACATTAGTCCCTCTTACCACCACTCCCAGAAAAGTTGTGTCTCCTGCTCTGCAACTTTAGGCACTGCTGAATTAGAGGTCTTTGACCTGGGGGGAGACCCTCAATCACAGAGATGGGAGGTGAGGGATAAATTTTAGCCTGCTTGTTCTCTGTCAGAAGATTCTGAGACCTGCTCCACTGCTTCTCAAGGGTCTCCAGGGGAACTGAGCCCTAGGTGCTCATTTACACAACTTTGATCCACTTGTCTCCCTCCTGTTTCACTTTCTTTCTTCATTAGTCCTTCCTGGAGTCACTTTCCAAATAAACTACTTGCATCCAAGTTGTTGGCTCAGGATCTGCTTATGGGGGAACCCAAACTAGGATAAGTGCCTCAATGACATTAGGTTTCCTAATATACTATATTTGTAAAATGTCTTCTGATCCTGAGTAATTTTTCAGCCATATATGTTTATAAGCTATTCTTCCTGCTTTGCATCTTTAATTTTTATTTAAAATATTTTTCTTTATTGATTTTAGAGACAGGAAAAAAGAGACAGAGATAAAAACATCAATGAGAGAGAACATCGATTGGCTGCCTCCTGCATGTCCCCCACTGGGGATTTGGCCCACAACCTGGGCATGTGCCCTGACCAACCGAACTGGTGACCTCTTGGTGCATGGGTCGACACTTAACCAGTGAGCCACACTGGCTGGGCGCATCTTTAATTTTTAGCATTTGACCATATGTATGCCAAATAAATAGGACACTGTTTGATAAAATGAGTGTCCTTGATAACGTACTTATGATAGATACAATGAGCTACGTAGAACCACTTCGTACTCCATTTGTTCAATCTAGATAATGGTCCAATTCAAGAAAATCAATTCTACAGGAAGTGATTACTACACATTGCTAGGAAAATAGCTATCTGCAGTCTGGCTTCAGGTTGGGGTAGAATTTGACATTTTTGTAAGACCATCATCCAAACACCAACAAGCTAACAAATCAAGTTAGCACAATTCAGCTGAACTTTGGGTGGCTACAGGTTTGGTTTGCTGTTGTTTGTGCATGTACACCTAACAGTGCCTGGGATCAGCCAAGCTGGGATATGAGGCTGAAATTCTCTCTTGAGAGATGAGAGAACTGAAGAACACATGCTTTTACTGACATTGACAACAATCTTTACTGGCTCCATCCCAATATAACAGTGAGTTCTTCATAGCACATGTCCTCTGTAATAGGAACTTGGAAAAATGTTTAACCAAATGCCTGTTTTAGATATTAAAACAATTCAACGAAACACCGAAAAATACCTAGCTTTGAACAATGCTACTTTCTAGAATCCCTTTCAAATAAACTTTTTTGAAATTAATATATATCCAAGATAAAAGAGTGCCACTAGTAGCTATAAAGTATTTAAACATCCAGGGATTTCGAAGACCAGTTATAGGAGGTGACCTGTGGGTCCCCTTCTGACAATAATTGGCTGCCAGGTTCATTGGTCACTGAAGGCCACTGCCTAGACCTGTCTTTCTGTAGGATCATTTGATTGAGTCAAGTTGAATCTTATTTTGTTTACCAGATTATAAGCACTTGACCTAATTTAAAGAAATTTGAAATTGTAATGACTGTATTCTAAATTACATCTCCAATTCAGCAGTAATGAGAGTAAACAGGAGCCTCAGTGGACAACTTTTCTTGGGTCAATACCTTCTGTTCATAAAAAATCTTTGGCCACAAAACTTGATGAAGGTGTTAACTGCTTTGCGTCCTAGAATTGTATAGGGAAGTGGTCTAGAAAATGGGTGAGGTGTGTCAATCCTGGAGTTAGAGCCCACATTTGATCCATCTCTGCCACTTGTTGGATGTGTGACCAGTAAAATGGGGACGATGAGAGAAACTTCATTAGGTTGTAGTAATGATAATGACATAATGCAGGAAGAGAGCACTGGGCAGACACAGGGTGGTTAAGGAATGACAGATGTTACCACAGAATACTCAGCCCTCATACTCCAGAATTCATACTTCTCTTTGAATTATTTTGTTTGGAAAGAAAATTTAAATAAATACAACTCATGATTACAACAGAAGTACTCTGGAATAAGATGGAGGAAGAGAGAGTTAAGCCTCTGATTTTTTTTTAACTTTTATATTTTCTAAGTTTTTGTCACTAACTCTATTAACATGTGCCTGGCACGTAGTAAGCTCTCTGTTAAGTGAGTGCTAATGCTGTTTTAAATTGCCATGGGCAGTCACAGCACGCAAACAAGGAAGGCTGTCAGGAACTGGGTGGAGGAAATGGACATACAGGAACACCTTCACACCGTGCTTCTTTTAGGAAGAAACTCTCTTTCTAGCATATATACGTGCCAGTGTCGTTGGTTATTTGAAGAAGTTTGTTCGTTTCGCATCGATTGAGTTCTTTAGGTCCAGCCCGCACAGGTTCACAGCATCTCATCCAAGAACTAGCCAAGTGGCCTGTTTGGACTGAACTGTTGTCACAGTCCTTCCTTCCAGATGATCTGCAGACACAGTTTAGGCTCTGCTGCTTTCTTGACCTTCCTCCCACAGTGTTTGAAACGTTGCCATCAATTTAAAGTGGAGTAGCTCCAAAGGTTTCCTTCAGGTCCCGGAGAGTCGGCCAGACACAACCCGGCCAGTGAGGTCACAGGAGCGCAGCGGAGTGGGCCTCCCAGCAGGGGGCATGCGTGACACCCGCCCACAGTTGGGGACAGGGGTGTCCACGCTTCTCCTCCCCCAAGGATCACAGCAGCCTCCCGAAAATCAATTCATCCCCAAATTAGACCTATCTGGTTAAGATTTAATTATCATTTGTGTTCTGTAATTACTGGCTTGCAAGGTAGCGGGGAGAAGCAAACGTCTCCTTTTCAGCACTCCACCCCCCAACCTCTTGAAATAAAACTGGCAAAAATAAAAACAGCATTCTGGGAGGCATTTAATAATGTAAACATTCATAAATTAAGAGTATAAATAAAGGGTTCCTAGTCCTTCAAGGAGGGGAGAGGGCGGCGGAAGGGACAGGACAGTGAGAGGAGCCTGGCTGGGCTCTCACGTCCAGAGGTGGAGGGGAGGAGGTGGAGGGGAGGAGGCGGGGGAGGGCGGCGCATTAGCGGCGCGGGGCGCAAACGGTTAAGGGCGCGAGTCGCCCGCCGATTGGGAGCACTGGCGAGCCCTCTCCGGCTGGCAGGCTGTGGCCTCCTGGAGGTCACCGGGCCCTTGGGGCGGGGGCCCACCGCCGGGCGCGCAGGTGCGGACGCGCGCGCACCGCCCGGCTCGGGGGTGGAGGGAGCACGGCGGCGGGGCCCGAGCGTGGAGTGCGTGTGCGGCCGGGGGGCCAGGCACGGGGCCGCTCCGGCGCGGCGTCTTTTCTTCTCCTCGCAGTGATGTCATCGACAGCAGTGGCTGGGAGCGAGGAGGCGGCGGCGGGGGCGGCGCCGGGCGGCCGCCGCAGGTTCATGTGCATGTAATGAAAAGGCACTTGACAGTCGGCCAGGACGCACGCGAGGGAGCGCAAGCCGGCCGGACCGCGGCGCCGCCCGAGCCAATCGCCGTCGTCGGCCTCTCCATGGGCGAGCAGGAGGAGGGGGCGGTGAGCGCAACCCGCCGGGCCGCGGCCGCTCCGAGGTGAACGGCGCGGAGACCCGCTCGCGGCGCGGGGAGGCCGGGCGCGCCGCCGCTATGAATTCCGCCGAGCAGACCGTTACGTGGCTCATTACCTTGGGGGTGCTGGAGTCGCCCAAGAAAACCATCTCGGATCCGGAGGGCTTCCTGCAGGCGTCTCTGAAGGATGGAGTGGTCCTCTGCAGGCTGTTGGAGCGTCTGCTGCCCGGGACCATCGAGAAAGTGAGTGTCCTCGGGCCCGCACCCCCACCCCGGACAGGCCCCAGCGGTGGGAGCCCGGGACTGTGGGAGGCCCCGCGCCCCGCCTTGTCCGGGCGGCGGCCCGGGATGCGCAGAGACGCGCGGGCACAGGGTCGCTCGCGTTGGCACCTGGTGGCCGCGCGGGGCTGGGAGAGCGCGGGGCGCGGCGGAACCCACGCGTCTCCTTTGTGCGCGGACCCGGAGCGCGGCCCTCTCGGGGGGCGCGCTGGCGGCGCGAGAATCCAGTGGCGGGAGCTCGGGGCGCCATTGTGTGCGGTGTGAGCTGGGGAGGGGGTCGGGGCCGCGTTCTAGGGGAACGACTCCGGGGAGGCTCGGAGGAAAGGGGAGCGCTGTGCTCCGCCCTAAGGTAGAGTCGCCCCTCTCCGTGACCCGACCAGAAAACCGTGCTCCGGCAACGCGCACTGCTTTCTCAGAGTCTTTGTTTGAACAGCTTTTGTTGGTGGTATTGTATGAGAGTTTCGCCCTCTATTTAATTGACCAATCGCTATGCATTTTTAAAAGATGCATTCATCAATAGCTGAGAGCTAGTTGTGAAATGATTTATCCCCCCTCCTCCCCGAAAGAATTTCTCCTGTCTCCAAGCCCAGAGGATGGCAAATACGGGGTTGGAAAAGCCTTGGCATTCTTCAAGGCTGGCTTAAAATTCTAGATTTCATTTTCAGGTTCCTACCTGATTTTGAACAGAATCCCTAGCCCTACAAACCCTGCTTCTCCTCTTCGTGACTGGTGGTTTCCCTGGGGCTGGAGTGTGAACCTTGACCCGCATCTCTGTGAGTGATTAAAGTTTGCTTTCCTCTCCCACAGCTGAGAAAGCAGGGGTGAGGGGGAGAGAAGCGCTTTTAAAACGGATGCGTTCCTTATATTTCCAAAACATTACAATCTTACCCAGTTTTTTTTGGCCAGTACATAATCTTAAGATCAACAATTACTTAAAAGGTGTTAAATGTAGAAATTGAAGTACACCATGATTAGGAAAAACTATTTAATTTTTAAATGGGGTTATTGGCTCCAACTCACAATAACAATTTGCTAATAAAAATATTAGGTGACTTTAAAAAGTAAAATGTTTACTCTTATAAGTTTGTGCATGTCATGGCTTTACATTTGAAAGGTCAGAAAAGATTTTATTTAATTTGAATTTTTGTGTATATATAAGTTTTAGGTATTTTTCTTGCTTGGAACGTATTTATAAAAACAGAATCTGCATTTTAGAGTGAATATCAGCCTGCCTGTCCAGTAAAGAAAAATGTTGCTTGTAAATGAACCTGATGGCACAGTAAAATTATGATTTAAGACAGGAATAAGGAGCAGGATCTAACTTTCAAGGCACTCAAAATATTTTGTCGTCATCTGGATATCAGAACCTCTGGTAATAAAAGACAGATGTTGAAAAGATTTGGAAGTGCATGCATGCTAAGTATACCAAAATAGGCTTATATGAGATACTGTTATATTTCTAAGAGTGAAGCTTAAAAAACTTTATATGCTGTCTAGATAAAAACATATCGCTATCAATGCATGTTATTTGACACATTAACTGCATTAATGATGATTGAGACTTCAATAATTATTTTCTTTTAAATTCTAAAAAGATTTTCTTAGAATACTGTAGCATGGCTTTCATCTCTAACAAAGAGAGGAATGAATAAAATGTTTAGCTTGCTGAAGTCAAATTGAAACAACCCAACATATTCTAAAACTATGGTCATTTGGACATTTCTTATATTGAAGCTATCCTTTTATTCCCCCTATGCTCCAATTGGCTTGTTTTAGACTGACACTATCACAGTGAAAGTTTAACAGCAAAGTAGCCAATTATGGACAGACCTTCTGATTTTTTGTGGTTCAAAGGTATGTTTTGGGGTAAAACATTAGCTATTCTCTGCCTCTGAAAACCTTGGGTTTCAGAAGTTTCATGAGTCTTTTCCATTTTCTAAGAAGAGTTATTTATTTGAGTTTTCAGGCACGCCAAATAATATATGCCACAAAGCACACGTGCTGAACAGCTTTCGCTGGAATGTGGGAATGTTAGTCTGAGGACATTTTTTTCCCTTAAAAAAGGACATTTGGAAACTGAACTGAATATTCTTATGGAATCGAAAGGCTCTTAACTTGACCCTTGTTTGCCACATGAACTCACTGACAACTGCTTAATAGGGTGTAAGCAGCCTGCAACTTAACATTTGCAAATTCATCATTTAAAACTTTGAACCATTAGACCTGGAGATACTGCATAATTAAGAAAAGTTTTGGGGTGGCATAGATTTTCCATGTGCCTTTTATTAGGAAAACACACCCAAATATATATCTTGCATTATGCCCATTTATTCTCTTTTTAGAGCCAGTAAAAGGGTGGAGAACTGAGAGGACATTTGTTTGGTTCAGATTGTTCTGCTCACTTTAAAAAAGTTTTTGTTCAGGTTTTCCTTTATGCAGTTCTCCTTTTCTTTAAGGTGGAAGGTTTGACAGGGAAAAGGGGGGATTATAAATTTGACGAGAGCAGTTCAGAGAAGAGACACCTTTCATAATGGCTGATGATACGTCCTCTGCCTTAGGGGAGGAAAATGGGCATTATAAGGTATCCCAGCTTCTCCTATATGAGGATCTTACACTTTGATTTTCTCAGTAATGGCCAGGATGCTTTGCTGACCTACCCACACTATTTGCTTCCTTCATTCCTCCTATGATGAGAACCACACAAAGGCCACAGAATCCAGTGAGCCCTATTAGCATTGAGCTCACTAGTTAACACTTTAAACATCCCTAGACTATTTAGTCTCAGGGGATACAATCAAGATAGAGAAGTTTTAGAAGGTGGAACATTAATATAAGATCAATAAAACACTCTAAAATAGTAAAAATCATGAAATGCTGCTTTAATTTTTCCTGTCAATCAGCAGATGAAGTTGCTTGATTGACCATAAAAAGCTCAAGGGACCTGGTTCTTTCTCTCTCTGCTCAGAACACACAGTAATCCATAAAGTGCTGCACTGGAGACACTCCATCAATTAATATTTGTGGAATATGATTGAAAGTCAGATGCTACCTTTCTGGTCTTGCTATATGTCCTGGGTGAGCAGGCGTGCATACATTTAAACTGGTTTAATCTGTTGAGCTGTGTATTACTGTCCTGGGGCTGCTGTAACAAAGTACCACAGACCAGGAGGCTTAAACAAGAGAATTTACAGTCCTGGAGACAGATGCCCCAGATCAAGGTGTGGGCAGGGCTGCACTCCCTCTGCAGGCGCTAAGTGGGAACTGTCTAGGCCTCGCCAAGGCTTCTCGTGGTCCCTTGGTTTGTGGCCGCACAGCTCCAGTCTGCCCATAGTGTTCCCCTGTGGTCTCTTCTGCGTGTTCACACCTCCACTTTTCATAAGGACATTAGTCATTGGAATAGGACTACCCTACCCCAGTATGACCTCATCCTAATTACATCTGCAATGACCTTGTTTCCAAATAAGATCACGTTCTGAAGTATTGGGGGCTTAGGATTCCAACATATCTTTTTTGGGGACACAATTCATCCTATAACAGGTCGCATAATAAATTTGAACCAAATCCATTTGTTAAGTACTTGGCTACCTGCAGGTGCCAGGTGCTACGGGAGCAAAAAAACTAAACAACTGGTTTTTGGGGGTTTTGTTACAGGAGTAAACATAAATATAAGAATAAGAACCATATGAAACAAGGAAATCAAAAGTCATAAAGTCAGGTGTAGATGAAAAGAGCAGAAGAATTTAAAAGTCCAAGGAGACTGCATTTGAGCTGTCCAGGTTCTGATGATTTTTTTTTTTTGACACATGGATTAGAATATGATTTGTATTTCCCTAAACTGTTATCTGGCAGCCCTAGGTGATCTTCCACAGCAAAGAAAACCAATGAATTGTAATACAGCATATGAAAAAGACAACACTGTTTCCTCTTTTGTTTTAAATCCTCACCCGAGGACACTTTTCCATTTTGTGTTCAGGTAGAGCGGGAGGGAGAGAGAGGAAGAGAGAGAGAGAGAAAAACATCGACATGAAAGGGACACATCGAGTGGTTGCCACCCACACGACCAACCAGGGCCGGGGACAAACTGCAACTGAGGTACGTGCCCTTAGCGGGAACCAAATCCGGTCTCTCTGGACCGCAGGCTGACGCTCTAACCACTGAGCCAAACAGGCCAGGGCAACACTGTTTCCTAATTGGTACGTGACTCTCTTTCTGGTCAGTCTTAGGATTCTGGGGTTGGTTGGGGATGGAGGTGGGAAGTGACGTGAAGTCCCAGTAGCTGCTGGACAGGAGTTCTAAGTGCCCACTGTGGGAAATTGACCTTTTCCTAGGCCCCTTTGCCCTTAGGATGTGGTCAGTGATGGCAGCGTGATGTGGTGGTGAGAGTCTCGCTTTGATTTGGAAGGCCGATGCCCTGTAGCTTTCATAAATACTTGCTGATTGGCTGGTACAGCACTGAGAGAGAAAATTCTAGTTATAAAACATGTTATGTCCTACTGTGTTTTTACAGAGACTTCTTTAAACCTTGCAAACTGAATTATTGGTTATATTAAGTTTCTTCTAATGAAACTACTCAAAGTTTCAGATAGTTAACTTTGTAATAGTAAACATCTTCTTTTGAAAGCACGTGACTTTAAAGTACTGTCTCAACCCGGCACCAGGGTGATTCCTGTTCTGGGTTTTAGGCCCAGAGAAGAGGGCAGCTGTAACTGCATTTGCTGGCTCATTCAACACAAAGCAAACAAACCTAGATTCAGTTTAATTGAGAACACCTAAAGTGATTTCCTGAGCGCCACGCCAGACTTGCTGTGGTGTTTCTGTTGGCATCACACACACCCCACCCCCACCCCACCTCCCTGACTTGGGTTTGGAGAATGCCAGGGGAAAGGACCACAAGATGGCCTTCCTCAGGGGCAGCTGCCTTTGTGAATTCTCTGGAGGAATTCAGTGTTTGTGCTATCTCAGGA